TTTACACACATACAAGCAATAATGATTTTTTTTATTGGTAATACTTTTTCGATTACATAATATAGTGTTAATACTAATCTTGTTACATACTTAAGATATGAATTGTGAAACGCGTTTAACCCAAGCATCTCATTTATTAAGAACTATATATATATATATATATATATATATATATATATATATATATATCTTGATAGAATCACACGGGGAACAACGGAGCACCTTAGCTTTCGTCTTTATTCAAGACATCTTCTGATGTCTTGAATAAAACAACTAATACATTATCATTTATCTTATCCACGTTTTCATTGTATCTACATGAAAAAAAAAAAAAAAATATATATATATATATATATATATATATATATATATATATATATATATATATATATATATATATATATATATATTCTGCATTACACACTTTGGTTCACTACACGTGTTTATTGTGAGCAAGTCTCTTAAATGTTCGAGGGTCGTTTATTTTGTACACATTAGGATCCAGGCAAACCTTCCCTCTTTATTTTAAACTAACCCAATTAAACCTAACCACATGATCTAGTTTAGGAATGGATGACTGGTTTTGAGTGGTTGGTTTTGCTCATTTAAATAATAACTTATGGTACCAAAACCGCCATGAACGCTACTGACTCGCTGTAGTGATAATCCTAATAATAGATTCACTTTACTAAGGAGACCACTCCCGGGCTTTAGTTAGGGAAGCAGTGTAGTTTACCCTTCGAGGCAAGAGCTCAGTTTTCTCTGTTGTTTATGATAGAAAACTAGACTTTTTAAAGGCTCTCTCAACTATATTACAAGTGTTAATATATTTGCACATTATATCGGTTCAAAGTAAGTGAAATACAATTAATTAAACGAGTAAAATCGTAAAATACAGTAAAAACCTGAGTGAGATATAAAATTAGATAATTGGGGCTTGGGAGGACTCTGGGAAAATTCACACCTCACCTCACTATTCAATCGGTTATTATAGTCCAGATTTAGGTATTCAGGTCTTAAGTACAGAAGGGGTGAATCCAGGAATATCAAAGAAGGGGTCCAAGAAGTAACGGGTGGGGAAACATGGCGAGCACAGCGAGCCGACCCAGGTGTTGTTTTTTTTTTGAGGGGGCTGTAGTCTCCCCCGATATTTTAATTTTTAAATCTCACTAATATCATGGGCATTTTAAGGCCATTTTGAAGTCATGTGCACTTGATATTATGAGATATTCTGAGGTCAATCGTAATTACTTTTTACTATATAAAAATGCCTGACTACACTACTGTTTTAACGAAAAAAAAAATATTGGAATTTTCTGATGAAAAGGTGAGGTCCTGAGCCCTCTGGATCCGCCCCTGTACAGTGGTTCCTTATATTCACAAAATTCAAGACAGGAACAAGTGGTTAAACTGTCGTGTTAAGGCCCTCACAGTGAGGGAGTCGAGGCTGAGGGATTTAGCTATAAGAATAACCAACTAAAGTCTTGAATCGTATATAGTGGGTTAGTAAGTACACAAGTAAACAAGCCCTGACAACGTGCATCCCCAAGTGCAAAGGAAGTAGTGCAAGGAGCTTGCCGAGCCCTTTAAAATATTGTTCTGCAGATGCACGGACGATCAAAAGATCCTAAATGAATGGAAAATGGCATATGTAATTCCTATATTCAAACAGGGATATAGCCACTCCACAATTATAGTACGGTGAGTTTGATCAATATAGTGTGTAAAACACTAGAGCGCATTATACGAGATACCGTGTTGGAAAATCTACTATGAAATAACCTTGAAAAGGACTCCCAACATGGTTTAATGCCGGGATGCTCCTGCTCGACGTAATTACTTAAGATACTGGAGGTTTGGAACCAGGTCCTGCAGTGTGGTGGCATTATGGACAATATACAGAATATATGGACTCTGCTAAGGCTTTCGACAGCGTACCCCACGAAAGACTATAAATTAAACTGGAATGGTACGGAATTAAGGGGATTGTCCTAGCGTGGAATGAAGACTTTCTTCATGATCGCAGTGTGTGATAATTTAATGGCGTGAAATCGTCATGTGTACCCGTGACAAGCGGAATATACCGCCGGGCAGTGTCCTGGGCCCGTTGTTGTTTGTTTGTTTCATATATGACATGCCAGAAGCTGTTCCTCCTCCATATAAATGTTCGCGGACGATGCCAAGATATTCAGGGAAATTAAGAACCAAACAGACTGTGAAGAGTTTCAGAAAGATCTGTGAGCTTCAAGAGATGTCAGAGGAATGGCTGTTACGATTCAATGTCACTAAGTGTAAAAGGACGCACCTAGGACGTACCAACCGTAAGGAGGCGTATCATATGTCCCAACTGGGTAAAGAAACAGCATTAACGGAGACCAAATGTGAAAAGGACCTAGATGTGTATGACGACAACGAACTGAAGTTCTCGGACCATTGTGAGAAGGTGAATCAAGCAACTATTGGGTCTTATAAGAAGAGCTCTTCAAAAATGAAGTGCTTCCCCGCCTACACTGGTCGTGTTAAGTTATTTTATTTCCCCCTCAACTTTACCTGGCAGCTTATTGTTCCTCTTTCTATTAATATTATAAGATCATTTGAAGATAACCACCATCTTTTTTCACCTGAAGATTAACCACCATAACTCTAACTTAACCTAACCTAACCTAACCACCATAACTCTAACTTAACCTAACCTCCCCAGGTTACATTAGGTTGGTTAATCATCAGGTGAAATAAGCGTGGGGCTAATCTTCAGGTGATCCCGAACCGTTGGTTCAACAGCAGTGACGTGACGTCATGCGTGGCTGTATCAAATAATTGTGGTTTGTCTATTGGTCCTGCTGTGTGTCCAATAAAGGCTGTGAGGAATGTTCAATTAGCTGCGTCTTGGAACACTCCCCTCCTCGAACCTGAGGAGGAGGTCGTCAGGTCGAAGGACACCTCGGTGACTCGCCTGCTAACAATACTTAAACTCGATATCTCTCGTCTTGTCTGCCCGGAAGTTATGTTAAACCCCCACAGGATTAAACAATTTGATTTCTATAGGAGATTAAAACATTCACATACGGCTATAAACATTATATAAACACACAGTATGTGAAGTAACCAGATATTTATTTGTGGTGTTCATTAACTATAGAAACCAAACATTGATCTCGCACCAAGTTACAGTTTTTTTTCTCGTTCACCACATCCACCGCGCCGTACTGCCAGGTGACCCACAGTGCACGTGGCTTAAGGTTGTGTGAGTTTGTCTTAAATACTAAACTGCACATAACTAGATTTTATATCAACTAGGTGGTACTGTACCTAAAATACAAGAATAAAGGACAATGTAGTACCCGGATCATGTGAAGATTAGACACCTTAGCTTATTTCATATAAAGATTAACCATTCTAACGTTATCTGAGACGTTGTTGATTAAATTCTTTTGCAACTGATCCTCGTGTAGCATCTTCGTTGTTGTTATGATTCCCAAAACTGAAAACGAGATAAATTTCCCAATGGTGCGCGACCTGAGACACACTATATCATATATGGTAAATAACTATCTTAAGTTAATCCATATTGTTCATAATATATTTTTTTTTCCTGTGGACATTCACCAATCACCACACTCACCCTCATTGACTGATGTATCTGAGTAATATATCGATCTACTTGTTCCTGCCATGTTATGCAACCATACATATTACCCCAATAGGTTAATTACCCTGCCATATTATAACCATACATATTACGTAATAGGGTAAAGTGGTTAATGTGGGAAAATGCAGGAAGGATTTTTCGCCTAACTGTTAAAATCATCCATTTTTCAAGGATAGATGTCGTTCATAATACGTATATAAATAATACTATTATCTATACTCTCGTGAAACTTAAAGTATAACTATATACATGAAATACACAGAAGTAAAAATCATACTTCATTATTTACAGAAGTGACCATCAAATTTCCTGGTTCTGATGGTTATATTAGTTGGTTCTGATGGCTATATTGGCTGGCTCAGATGGCTATGTTAAATGTTACAATAAACTTCCATACCATTAAACAAACCTAGTGTAGCTATAAGAGTTCATTAAGAGAATGTTCACTGGAGAATATTGTTTCATCATTAGATAAACAACCAATTGAACAACACCGCATGGACTAAGAACTGAGAGCCCGGGGCAACACAGCAACAAGGGGCCCTAGGAGTCTTTAGTTTATACCTCATCCCTTCAATAAATATATGACGGGTCGTTACTTTGGTTCAACAGGTCTCGTTAAGCGTCGTTTTCGTTGATCAGCTTAAACAGAGAGACTTATCTTTGTTGGGTTTTGCATCACCGTTGTTTACCGTCGACTGAGACTTCAAAAGTAATTTAAACTCGACCAGATTAGATTGTATTTTTCATGTAGAATTAAGATAGTCTGTTTTGAGTTAAGGGTTTTGTTCAAAGAGTATCAATAATAATTCATGCTTATACACTCCATATTGAGGTGCTTCTAATAATATTTACTTTCCAATATCATTAAAAGTACAATATTACTCTTGAATTATGACCAGGATATAGAAAACACATTCTCCACTTAAAGACTTTATTGTTATACATCATTCAAAATGTATAATGACATTTTATTATACATTTCCTTTTAGAATATTTATACCATTACCTTCAAGAATTACGGTGATATGCATACTAATGTAATTTATTTATTTTTTTTTTTTTTACTGAGAACATAATGGTGGTGCATTTTATGTAATTTGCTATGTTAACTGTAGGGAGAACAGGCATATGAATAAATAATGCTAAGAAATAAATAGTAATAAATGCATACACGATAACGCAAGTGAACATATCAGTCAAAGTAACTGTCAACTGTACCTTAGCAACCCTGTCAACTGTACCTTAGCAACCCTGTCAACTGTACCTTAGCGACCCGTCAACTGTACACCCTAGCGACCCTGTCAACTGTACCTTAGCTCCTGTCACACCGTACTGTTACCGACCCGTCAACTGTACACCCTGTCAACTGTACCTTAGCGACCCCGTCAACTGTACCCTTGATATGAATATCTTTCACCAATTTCAGTCACCGCTATGAATACATTATAACCTGACCGACTCACTCATTCATTGACCGAGAGAACTTTTTAGCTAGGATAATTCAGTCTTGTCGTAGCGTTCATCTATTCTAGATAGATAAAATTCAAAACATTTTAATTTCCTTCACATCTAACGCCATGAAAGTTAAGCGAAATGTAATTGAAACTTAAAGTAACACATTATTCTGTCATAAACTTTGTATACATACAGTAAGTTACTTTAAGTTGAGTGAAAATTGTCGTTGCACCTCTGTAGTTACAAATGGCGCATGTTTACATGTGACGTCATCAATATAGCAGCCCATAGAACTGCGGTCATGTGTAATAAATTATTCATATTTTCCATTACGCTATATTTGTGGTAAGTTATAGGAATAATATTTATATTCATTGATTTGCACCACCACCATAGTCATATTTATTTCTATATTATGTCCCCTAAGATTTATTGAAGACTCAAATCTATACTGTTAATGAAGGAGTGTTGTCAGGTGTCCATCGTGCTTCTGAGTCCTGTTGCCTCGTGAAGTAGAGCGACTCAGAAGAAATTAGGTGAGACAACCCGGCGACACTTGTAGACGTAGGCCTCCACCATGATGTTGTCCTCCACCCTCACACAACGGGTACTGGGCGGACACTCGCACCTGCAGCAGTAACACGAGGTTCTTAGTTAACTTAATTTAGATATTAGTTAAAGAAAAATATTCACGTAAGAAAGATGTTTTTACAATCATTTTGTTTGTTGATAACTGGTGTATATACTGTACCTCCATGGCCGTGACTGTGTTACTTTCATGGCCGTGTCTGTGTTACTTTCATGGCCGTGTCTGTATTACTTCCATGGCCGTGTCTGTGTTACTTTCATGGCTGTGTCTGTTACTTTCATGGCCGTGTGTGTGTTACCTTCATGGCCGTATCTGTTACTTTCATGGCCGTGTGTGTGTTACCTTCATGGTCGTGTCTGTTTTACCTTCATGGCCGTGTCTGTTTTACCTTTATGGCCGTGTCTGTGTTACCTCATGAGTGGACCCTCACCTATCACCAGACCTCTCCACCATTACCCTTATGGTACACCCCCTTATGGTACACACCCTCATGGTACACAACCCCCCTTCATGGTACACCCCTTATAGTACACAACACCCTTCATGGTACACCCCCCTCATGGTATACCTACCTCATGGTGCACCTGCTCATGGTACACCCCTCCACGATACACAACACCCCTCATGGTACACCCCCTTATGTTACACCTCCCTCATGGTACACCCCCTCTCATGGTATATCCTTTCATGGTACACAACACCCCTCATGGTACACAACACCCCTCATGGTATACCCCTCATGGTACACCCCCTCATAGTACGCAACACCCCTCATGGTACACCCCCCTCCCCATGGTAAACAAGAGCAGCAGTAGAGGCACAGTAGAGACATACTGGCCACGTAGGTAGTAGATGTGACGTCGCAGGTCTCCGTAAATTTCCCAGCCACAGGGACTCTGGATGTCACACACGGAGCTCACCACGTTCATGAATGGCCCCTCGTCACTGATGGCTCGCTGAGGGTGAGGGAGAGAGTACATTTTAGATACACAAACTAATAGAAATGACAACAAACAGAAAGGCAAAATGAAGTCAATAAACTCATTTCTGAAGTGCTTGTCTTAGTTTTTTGTTTTATTTATTTTTTAATTCGATTTCGTAATCTTGTTTATTATTATTAGTAGTAGTAGTAGAATCGGGTACAACCGAACTATGAACCGATATCTAAATGGTGAATTACCCGATACACCCCGATCTGTCAGAATATGCAGCTATCCCTTATGTTGATGAATACCCTATTGTAGGTGTTGTATGAAGTACCGCTCACCAGGTGCTACTTTGTGTACAAGAAAGTAATCAAATTATTAAAGTTAGAAAAATCGTAATACACGTTCATATTAATTCTTTACGTATATAAACCGTACAGGTACATAAACAGTTTCGGTCTCGTAAAACATAATAACGTGATCGACTCAACCAAAATAACTTGCGTGTGTGAGTGTTGGTGAGAAGACTCTGAACTTGAGAAGAAGGGAAAGGTCAAGTACTTAATGGACAGACAGCCAGGGCGTGGAGAGAGGGGGAGGGGGGTGTGTCCTCTATACATCTTCTCTGTCTTTATATAGGGAAATATTCCACAGAACAACAAAATTCTACCAATTTTCCACTCGCCCAAAATACCTTCACTAAAATCTCATCAGATGTATTTTTGCTTTAAATCCTAATACTTTTGTTTGGTAAAGTTTGGTTAGATGGATTTTAACAGCTTTCTTGGGTAATTCGGGCTATTCTTGGTTGATACAAACCCCTGACTGATCCCATCTACACAATCTTTGAAAAATTTCTCCTCACTGTAGTTACGGGTCAGTATACTTCCTGGTGTCGCTCACTCTAAGTCACTACACCTACGGATTTTTCATCTCAAATGTTTCTTTTTTCTTGTGCTTAATATTACCTGTAACACACGTATAGCATTTTCCAGCTGCCTCACATGTTTTTTCCCGTATTAGTCCACCAGGGCACAGGTCAATGACCCACATTAGGGCCTAGGGGCGAAAATATAATAGTAGTAATAATAATAATAATAATTGTAAAGGACCATAAAAAAAATGATCAAAGTGAGAAACAATATATGTATGTTGTGTTGTCAAAGTAAGAGAAACAATTGAAACCCTGCAACTGTGTGTAAATGAGGCAGAAAGTCAGGTCATCAACCTCGGGCTTGGATGGTAGATAGAAAGCTGGATATTTATTCACTATTTTTTTTCTTCTTCAGTAAGTTTACATTAGTTTATCATGTAGTGTGCAGTACAGTCACGACCAGAGCTAGTTGACACTCCCCTTCATAACTGAATCAAACCTAAATGAGTTACTACATTACATCCGCGTTATATGGTTAGAGGAGCAGTTCAGGGATTCGTTTTTCAGTAACTCTCAATGCTGTAAAGTGATTGTGATCGTGACTGTAGTGCAGGTATACAGTCAGTTGAAATAACAAAGTTTAGCTCAAGAAGGCTATTGGAAGTGAATATCCGTTACAATTGTTTGTATTTTGTGTGCAGTATTTACAAGTCATATTAACTGTTTCGTCACTCGGGAAAGTCAATGTCAATATTTACCTGATCTCTTAAGTATGTGGGGGGTTTTTCTGTTAAAATACACATATTGGTGCCTGGTGAAGACTCCAGTAATAAGATCAGTGATTAATACTGACCTTACCTCATAACAGAAAAGTTGGTTTGGTCTGAAAATATTTCACCTAAAAGTTTAATAGAGGTGACTACGTGCAGCCTGATGGAGTACTCTTTTATTTAAAGCTCAGTGTTATAGTAATATTGTTGGGAACATAACTTACAACTTAACATCCCATAGGCATTTGGTTTCACGCATACCATTGTCGTCAGGCGTTAGGGAGATTCAAAATAAATCGTAATTGAACTAAGATTCTTGCAGGATTGGAAAAAAAGTTTGGCAATGCTTAGTGGCTCACTCCTGGTAAAATTCAGACACAATTCAGAAATTATGTAATACAGCAATTTGCTAAACTCAACTTCCTGGACCAAATTAAAAAACAAATATATATATAAATTAATCATGACAACCTGATTGTTATTATTATATATTGGAAATGCTTCATAAGTCAGGGTCTTTAAGTAATTTTCACTGAATCTGAAAAATTAACACTAAACAGAGACAGTATTTGGTGGTCCCTGGGCCGGGTAACACGCGAGAAGGGTGTTATCCAGTGTGACGCTACCAAACATGGCAGGTTTTTTTTCCGTAACAAAGAACAGACCAACCGCCCGAGCGGCTAGTAAGCTGATGGTTGGCGAAATGATGATTCTGTTTTCACCTGATATTTACTGTATTTATATTCTTGTGTACCTGTATATTATCTCTGCCAGTTAATTCACCTGAAGATTAACCACTCTAACACTAACCATCCAATCTAACCTAACCTAACCCCCAGGCAACATCAGATTGTTTAACATCAGGTGGAAAAACCTGGGGCTAATCTTCAGGTGGTTCCTGGTATCAATATGAAGCAAACACTTTCTATCCAATTAGCATATCAACTTTATGACTTAATACGGTAACTTTTCAAACTCTTAATGAGACGCTGCTGTATCTTGGTTACTCAATATTGGCAGAGTTTGGTGCTCACACACACACACACACACACACACACACACACACACACACACACACACACATGAAGGAATGTAACTTGTAAATGACTTTTAATATCTTATTTGTACGCAACAATACTATCCTGGTTTATTTTTATATATTATTTTTGTTTACGTATTAAGCCATGAGCCATGACTGAGACTTTTCACACCAACTCCTTCAAGGAAGTCTTCTCTGGAAGCAAACTGGCTATGGTTAAGATAGGTTAGGTTAAATTAGGTTGGGTTGGGCTAAGGTTAGGTAAGGTTAGGTTAAATATTAGTTAAGATGGATTGGTAAACAGAGTCAAACTGTTAAATTCTGTGTCATCATGTTTATCAAGTGGTTTTTATGAGATTTACTGAGGTTAATCCCGGGGAAACATTGTAGTTGGATGAGTCAGGTCAATGGTTGTGTCTTCAATACTAAAGTTCAATTGAGGTGAAGGCTATCCCGGGGTCCAGAGTTGTTACTGTTATCTCATGCTAATTGTTACTGCTCAGGGAGGTTTTGGTGTTGTCCATCAGTGTGTCTGTCTGTCTGTGTCTTTGTCTTTCTGTGTATCTGCCTCTCTTTCTGTCTGTCTTTCGATTTGGAGATAAATTGCTTCACCACATTATCTAAAGGTCTTTTGATCATAATACAACCATTCTTTATACTTTTAATCTTTTATTCATCGTAAATGTAACCTGTCTACTTTGTTCCTGGTCGGGCGGTTGGGGGGGGGGGGAATGTTTGGGGTAGATCAGAAAAGTTTTGGCAGGTCTTGTTTTAAGCGACTGTCATATACATTAGAGATGATCAGAATACCTGGCATTCTTCTATAAATAATCTTTCATGAAACGTCTTTTTGAAGTATGGTTCAGGCTATAGAAAACCCTTACAGGGAGCTTTGATCTCTATGACCTGACACATCAAAGGGGCTGCTGGTGCTGATTAGTTATATAATTATGTAGGTGTCGGGAGCAACACCTTTCTGGTGAACGTTTGAGAGGAACTAATGTTTACTGTACAGTACATCGATTTTTCCATACCAATTCTTTAACATGTTGTGTCAAGTATTTTTAATGAACTGGGTATTACAGTATAATATTTTTCTCCTGGCAACAGGTGAAAAAATCTGGAGAGTATATTTTATCACGATAGGATGTTTAGGGTGTTAACTTAATTATTTTATGATCTTATTTGTTAATTGTCAATACAAACTGGTTAGTCAGTCAGTCAGTCAGTCAGTCAGTCATTAAGGGTTTCCGGAATTATATAGTGTCTATGGTTGTTATCAACATAATTATATGAAAGACTTAAAAAAACAAAACAAAAAAACATTCAGTTTATCATTTCCAGTAAAGATTAATCAGAAAATTAATGATTATATTAGGACGATTACTCTCAAGATTTTTTATCCTCAAATAGACTAACAACATATCTGTGTAATTCTGCTCATACTAACTTGAGATTTATTAACGAGCGAAAAATTGAGGGAATAAGATTATAACTGATTATTACAAAGAGACAAATGACTTAACACAGACAGACAGACAGACCAAAAACGAAAGGGATGTCCTTGATAGATAGCGATGTACTAATAAAGTAACAACATTGACGAAAAATAACTAGAGAGTGAGAACGTGATTGGTGGCGGAACATTTCACACACTGGTATATGAAGATGTTGGTCGGGAACTCTTTATAATGTGGCTGGGGTAATATGAGAAATTGAGTGAGAGGAGTGTAAATAACACCAGCTGTAAAACTCCCATGTCATTCAATATTTGTAGCCTGACGGGGTTATTGCACTCTTGGAGATAGAGATTACCTTTGAGTGTTCCTTGCTATGTTTAGAGGTCAGCCAGAGCATGTAATAATAATAACAATAATATCTGGGTTGCAGCTGCCTAGTGACTCGGTCTATACCTATGTATGTGCTTTTATAATTATCACTGAAGTCATACATGAAAATTACTGTGAGCGGGAGGAATCGGTCCAGTTGTAGGTGAACAGGAAGGCGCGCGGTGACAACAGTAAGAACCCGGGCTATGGATTAGGGAACAAAGACTTTTTTTTTTCTATGGTGGCCTCTATATTCAGTATTTTTTTCCTCAAGTGCTTCAATTACCGTTTTGTAGACGAAGCAGTATTTAGATTAAGTTGATTTCTTCGGTTACTCGTTAATGATGCTGGAAATATGCAAGTATCCATACATTAACATACCCTATAATTCTAATCTGCTTATAACAACGTAAAAAAAAAAGTATCACACGTAATTTTTTATTATTTGTGTTTAGTGTATGACCTTACCTCCAGTACGTGCTTAAAAAAAACACTTAGTTGTTGAAGTACAGTAAGTAATGTATTGTAACATCAACATTGGCGCTAAAACATGTTCAATCAAGACAATAAATACCAGATGCTGCTGGTATTTAAACTAAAGGACCCTACTGGAAATAAACAAACAAACAAACACACACACACACACACCACACACACACACACATACACACACACACATACACACACAGGTGAAACTCTTAAAACAGGAGAAAGATGGAACTAGATATGAAGTCAGTGAGTCATTACATAAGGTCATAGAGCCAAAGAGTCCTACCATTTCACTACTTAACGGTACGATATCTTAAGAAAACTCTACGCTATCTTAGACTAGACTGTTCGATATCTAGAGAAGACTGTACGTTATCTTAAACTAGACTGTACGATATCTTAGAATAGACTGTATGATATTTTTAGACGACTTTACTATATGTTAAGACTAGACTACGATATTTTTAGACGACTTTACTATATGTTAAGACTAGACTACGATATTTTTAGACGACTTTACTATATCTTAAGACTAGACTGTACGATATTCACGAGTATATTGTACGTTATCTTAATACAGACTGGCAGACAAAGTTATCAACAACTTTGTAAAAAAAAACATATTGACCTCTCCCTTCTGTCATGTTTGAGCTTACTTAAGTTACAGTACTTTAGATGTAATTTATAATGGCAACATCTCTTCTTCACCACGAAAGAGCCAGAGACAAGCTCCACTAATTATGTCCGAAATGGCCAAAAATGTGTTGACCAGCACAAGATGACCAACCACCATTCTTAATACCATAACACATCGTATTAAATATTTATGTTGTCACCCCACGTGTCTGAGGGCTAACTATACCAATCCTGCCTGATTCCACATCTATTTTGTCTTCCGCACGCCCTTCTACTCTTAATTTTACCCATTCATTTATCAATCAATAATCTCTCGTCGCAGATTATATTACCAGAGTATATAATTCTTTTTAAGATCGTAAGACAAAACCACTGTGCCACCCAAATCAGTCAGACAACACGCAGGTGAAAGTAGTCGCGATTGACGAGGCAGAATTCCATCCTTCCACCCACACCTTGGATCTTCGTCGTATATTGATGTGTCTAATGAGGCAGTGTTTCTGACAGGCACTCGGTATATACAGTTTTGTTACTGTACTTGTACCTGTACTTGAACTTGTCTGTGTTTGGATCACATGAAGATTATCACCCCCAGCCCATTTCACGTGATTATTAAACACCCCAACGCTACCTGGTGGTGCTAGGTTAAGTTAGATTGGGTTAGCATTAGGGTGGTTAATCTTCATATGGTCCCTCATCTATCTTTCTATCTATCTATCTATCTATCTATCTGCAAGTAAATCACTGTGGGTGCGCGTGATCCAGGTAATATGCTGATAACCACAAGGAAAGAAGAAAACACGAATTTCCCAAGCGCTTTCGTGTAATTCACATCTGAGCAAACTAAAATTAATAGAGTACTAGGAATCACGGCTGAGTAGAGGCAGCGGGTGGCTACGTCCTGGTGCTGTCACTAGGATACAATCACTGATGCATTTTAATTTAAGCTCCGCGTAGGTAACATTCTTAGAAATCCCGCCCCCCCCCCCCCACCCTAAAAAAAGTCCCTGGTAGGATTGTCTTGGGTGTGTTGAGGATGTTAGCTGAGGAGGACTTGAGTGGTGGAGGTGGGTATTTCTGGGCGTCAAGGAGGAGGAATATGTCTAAGTCAGTCAGTCAATCACAGTCACAATAACTCATACATATAATCAAGCGGTCATATATCCAGGAGAATTGTGCATATATTACTGGCCATGCTGTTAATAATATTAATACTAATATTTGAGACCTGAGTAAAAATCACGTATTCCCATTGAATTATACAGTGCATGAAAACACACACCTCCCCCCCCCCAAAAAAAAAATGGGACGAATGTGTGTGTGTGTGTGTGTGTGTGTGTGTGGGTGTGTGTGTGTGTGTGTGTTGATATGAACCTGTAGACTTGTGTGTTATGTTGTAGTTGGTTTGTACTTTTAACTCTATTGCCGCGGAGATGTACCGTATATTCACACTTTATTAAATTCTCCTAGGATGTGTTTCTGTGTGTTATTCTCGGCTCACTTATAGAGAATTAGATACACCCTGCCCTCCAGGTCGATTTTTTTTTAATGTTTCAAGCTCTGTTTTTTTTGTGTTTCAGTTCCTGTTTTTATATTTAAAGTCTCGTTTATTTTCATGTCCGATTATTTTCTTTATTTAAAATCTGATTTATTGTATCTACAATCTGATTTCCCTGTATTTAACGTCCAGGTTTTTATATTTATAATGATAGGGTAGGTCTGAAAATTATAGGGAAATATAAAAATGGTAGGATGGGCCTGAAAATGGTAGGGCAGAGCGTGGGAATGGTAGGGAAGGTCTGAAAGTCGAAGGGTCGGCTTGAAATGGTAGGGAAAAGCATTAAATAGTAGGGGGACCTGAAAATGGTAGGAAAGTTCGTGGAAATAGGAGGGTATGTCTGCAAATAGTAAGAGTAGGTCTGAAAATGATAAGGAAGACCTGAAAGTAATATAGGGCAATAAACATGCAGGGTGAAGATCGAATCAATAATTATACTGAGGGGGCCTGACAGACAGTGCAGGCCGGGAGGTAAACAATGAACGTGACGCAAGCACTGGACGATACCATCACTGACAGTTCAAATGTAAGGATGTTGATTTATGAATGTGTCAAGCTGGTTAGCGCCCAGGTCACAACTATGAATGCAGTGTCGTCTCCAGGCTATCTAGGGCGCTGGATACCCTACTAGAGAGGCCACCTTCCTCCACAAAATATTATAAATAGTACACACACCGCACATTTGGAAGCCTACCATGAGAAAACAAAAATAAAACCTATATGAGTTGTTTGTGACCAATAATATTTTTGAAGATATAGTTTTAAAATGGGTCATATAATTTAAGTAGACTCTGTATTTCCATATATCCAGTTTGTAGCCAAGTTAGTTATCTCTTGCCACCAACACAAATATATGAAGAACAATGCGAAATCTGTAAGTAGGAAGAATTATTTCCATTCTTGTTTTTTGTTGTTGTTTAAACCCTTGGGTATTATTTAACCTTTGAGTACGATGACTTAAACCCCCTGAGTATAATCATTTAAACCCTTGAGAACATTGTCTAAATCCCTTGAGTACGACGACCTTGTACTCAGGGGTTAAGTCATTATACTCAAGGGATTAATAAGAGCAATCAATTTACATGCTTTAAGACCTTAGCTGTAGAAGCGCAAGAATTTCTACAAACGACATGTGTCAATCATAAAACTCATAAGTCACCAGTCATAAAAAAAAAAAAAACTAAACGCGAGGAAATAACAAATACGTAGAATAATAAGGTAATTTGAAGACTTACTTTGTCGATGACCCTGGCGTGAGCGGCTGCCGTCACCACCAACCACACGAGGAGAAGCAGCGATGATGTGTTGCTCATTGTATCTTCGTTTATCTCTATAATTTTCTACTTTCTGATTTACTGTATGTCGTTTTTCCTTACGTAATGTTGTCTAAGTTTTATTTTTTTTTACTTGTTGCTTCCCAGCTCTGTCTCCTCCGGCTGTGTGTTGACTTCTCGTGGCGGTTCTGGGCTTCCTTCAGGTTTTTATGTCTTGTGACGGAGAGCTGCCAGTGGTTGCCAAATAGTTAAATTTATCAATGTTTGTATTTTTATTTATTTATTTTTACTTGTTTTTAATGCCTTCAGTTAAATGCTTTTTGGAGATCAAACATACACACACTCTTCTCCTTTTTGCATTGAAGGAACTAATTGAACGATCCAAATGTTACTACAATTGATGTGATTTAATTAATTTATCCTTTGGCTGCAGTATTTTTTCTAAATAAAGAGTTTGTATGTATGTATGTATGTATGTATGTATGTATGTATGTATGTATTATTATTATTATTATTATTATTATTATTATTATTATTATTATTATTATTGTTGTTGTCACCCATGCACCGCGGCTGCACTTTAAAGTTACTGTGCCTTAACAACACACCCACCTGGTGGTCACGTGGCAGATAGACATATATAAGTAGACAGACCAACAAATGTAGACAAACACACAGACATATACAGACAGAGACAGGTATAAGCAGACACGCAGAATAGGTAGACAGACATATGGACAGACAGACAAATGTAGACAGTCAAATATAGACAAAGACCTGAATCTGTAAATAAACTTTTGATTTTTTCTTTTAAACCAACCCAAGAATTTCCGAAAGGGAAAACTTAATTTTTAAAGAGAAAAATGAAGGTATGTGAAAGATCTTTGTATAAATCCTAGTAGTAGTAGTTTATTCTTACAATGGTCTTAGAATTTTAAGTTTGTTGTCAATATACAGACTTAAATCCTTTTCACATTTGACCTTTCTTAATGTTGTTTGGTGGTCAGGTTGGGTCATGTGATACTTCCCCTTACTGTTGGTCTACCACGAGCTTAACCTGACAAAATACATACTCTAATATTTAAGGCTTATTCAGTTTTTAAGTCTATCTCTTAAAGTATTATATTTTTTCATTTGCTTCTATCATTTGAGGTCCTTTTTTTTAATAATTTAAGGTGAATTATTTGACATTTTATATTTATCTCAGTTTTTATTGATATTTAATTTGATATATACTTAATCTTTACTATTAAAACTGATTAATTATTTTTGGTAAACGTGTAGATAATAATAATAATAATAATAATAATAATAATAATAATAATAATAATTAACGGTTTATTGAAAGAGCTTGGCAGCCTGTGTGTGTGTGTCTCCGAGTCAGGTCCCGCAGGTTGAAAGAAAAAGTTTATAAGAAATAAATAGAAAATTAAAAATATTTTATGAAGTTCAGTAGAATGAACGAGGACAGTTTAACATTATCCAGCTATCTAGCCTTATAAGGCTTCAGAGTTGTTTAACTTCAATGTGGACACCCGGTATAATGAATTTTATTTTTTTTATTTATTTTTTTTTTTTAAGGTTTGAGTACTTTTGCTTTTAGGAGGACTAGACAAAATCCAAAATGTATCGTCTAGTTGTGGAGGTGGGGTGGGGAATTGGTGGTCTTATATCACTGACTTCCTGAAGCAATGTTAGGTCACCCATTATTGGGGTAGGGGATTAGTGGGTCTCTTGACCAGAAAATTTCTTAAATAAAGACGAAAGCCTAGGTGCTCCAGTGTTTCCCACTTACTGAATGTACAGTACAGTATACATAAACGTAATCACTATTTATGTCTTAACACTGCTTTAACACTGTATTCTTGGCTGATTGTGTCCTGGTACATTAATGTACAGTACTGCACATCACATTGTATGCAAAAACAGCAACTAGTGAGGGAACAACCTTCTACAATGATACCAGAATATGAACTAAGCAATCCAAGCAGCTAGGCCACCCACATGGGGATGCATTGGAAAATGATGCAATCTCTTAGAACTCCCACAAAATTTATTCCCAAGCCCAGAACAGAGAGGTTTGGAGATATTTTCTCGGAACTTTCTCATAATTTTTCAGGAAAATGTGCCTCATTTTTACCCTCAGAAAACTCATTCATAGACCTAAAATAGAGAGTTTTCCCAGAAATTTTCCTATCCAATTCCATTTCCGGCTATTGGGGATACCGGCTAACGGAGATTACTTCTATCATATTGATATTCCAAAAACAGACTGCAGAAGCATATTGAATAGAAATGTAAATACAATACTGTATATAAATCTTCCCAATACACTATAACCACAAATCTATTCTACTAAAATTCATTATGTGCTGGTTTAATGGCTGCCACTCCTAATAGTCAGATTAGGTTACTGTTGTTACCTGTTACATCAGGCCTGATAGAACTGTGACTCATCAGCACTGCAGCATTACCAAAATAAGTATATAAAAAATCTTCACAACTGGTAGGACACTCATAGAAGCACAAATGTTGACCAAGCATCACTTACAGTAATTGTACAGAAATGTGACCTAGTTGTGACTAAACGCTGACTTGTGTTACTAACATTATAAACTTGATCCGTTACTCTCTCCTTGGAACTAACCATCATGTGTAGGTTTAACAAAATCAGTCAACTTAAATTCCAAAGAAGAGATGGATCAAATTTGATCAAACTTGAGGAGGTATGTTAGATACTTATCTAGGAAGAAATCTATCAGTTAATATTGATAAAACACAACAAAGGCCCACCTTGTTCTAAAAGCTGAACCTCAATTTAATCTCAAAATCCAGTATTTTTTTTTTCTCAGACAACCGAAAAGTCACCACAGTTGTATTAAAGTTAATCAACCCATTTAAAAAAAAAATCTTCACCTTTATGGACAAAAACATAATGCATGTAAAAAGAAGAAGAGAATTGATGAAGTGGGATGATTCCAAATTCCATTCCATTTATTATCAAGAATCTATCTGCATACTTATAAGCAAACCTTATTCTGATTAAAACCCTGTTAATCTCTTAAAACTTATTTTCTTTACAAACTACTGCACCAGCATTTCCGGAGTCACAAAATTGCACAAATAAGAAACTACTGTAATAATTTTAAACTATCTGGGAATTTAGTACAGTAGAACATCGATATAACGTGATACATTAACGCGATACATTTCAAGAGAGGTCGCTGTAATCCAAATTCACACTAAATCGAAGTGTTGTTTCAATGGAATAATTTAGTTTGGTACTTGAGAGAAACACAAGATACTAAAAAGACTGAGTCAACCCAGATGCACCTCAGCCCATCTCCTAGAATAAACAAAACATTGCTTTTTATAGTATTATGTTAAAACAAACACTCATAAATCAACACAGCTAAAATTAAGGGATGCGAAATGGTTCGTTTACTGGCTTGGAAGATTGGGGGGAGGGAGGGAGGTGAGGTGATATGTTGACAGTTGATGCCAAGGTCTAGTGTTTATTTATTTATCTGTCCTTAAGAGTGACTAAGTTTTTTCTCTTATAAAATGTCACTGAACTGACATGGGAGAATATAATTAACATTGCTGGAATTCTTATAAGATAGTGATTAATTTGAATATAAACATGTTATAACTCGCATTAGACATACAAATTTTATTTCTAATTTAAGAATTTTATTAAAAGAGCAAAAATTTTTATCTCTTGTGCAAAATATATGACGTTTATATTCAAATCATTTGCTGTATTGCAAGGATTCCAGCAATACAAGTTAAATTTTCCTAACTTTAGTCTGTGACATTACATAAGATAAAAACTTTAAGCCTAAAACACCAAACCCTGGCTGGGAAGATGGGGGAGAGGGAGGGAGGGAGGGGAAGGAAGTGACAGGGACATGTTTGACAGTTGGCACCAAAATCTAGTCAAGTATTTATTTGTTTATTTATGTCCTTTAGCTTGAGTTTATGTTTTTTACTTATAAAATGTCACAGAAGTGACCGGAGAGAATATAATTTACATTGCTGGAATTCTTATAAGATAGTGATTAATTTGAATATAATCATGCTATAGTTTGCACGAGACAAAAATTTTAGTAATCATTTAGTACATTATTTTGAGTACATGTACAGTACAGCTTTGCCCTTTGGACAGTGTAGCGTGCCCAGAGAAACATAAGGAGCGAATTTTAAAATATAATGCGCCAGATTGACCCACGCAAAATAGGAAAGATTCGCTTTAAATTAAAACATTGTCCTTAATTGTGGGTGTCGCTTTAAATCAATAATCTTAAATTGAATCGCTTTAAATCAATGTTCTACTGTAACAGAAGAAACAGGGCAGTGTCCCTGTGAATCCAAATTTGATTAGAAAGAAGCTACTTGTCACACTCATAACTGGTCTGGAGTGTTGTAGATTCTCCACACAACTAATATTGTTATATCCTCAAAACTCTTTCAACAATTATCATGGAGTCATATTCCCCTCACTCACATATTTGTACAGTATAAGTTTATTAAAAAACAAAAAAAAACATGATCTTAAAATACAGCACTTGAGAAATAAGCCATCTTTCAATGTATGAAACAGGTTTACAGGATACATTGCATTTCCTTCAATTACTTCAAAACTGTGCATTATTGCAATAAGTAAACACAACAGTAAGCTAGCGACATGCAGTGTCTCAAAAAAAACATACTCCATAACACTGCTTTACACATTTTCATGGAGATTGTGTGAATGCTTGTAATGTAGCAGCAACGTTGTCCTCACATTTAGGAGACCTCGTACATCAACAAGTGAGGACAATGTTGCTGTTGTGATACAAGTATTCAAGTGATCTCCATGAAAATTGGTAAAGCAGTGAGTGTGTTTACATTTTTGTGAGACACAGTGTATAAAAGATGTATAAAAATAAAATAACTATTTTCAATAACAATAAACAATAAGACCCCCGCTAAACACTGATGGGTTGATGCTCATCCCTAGATCCATAACCTAATAATGTACTGCCATCAGAGAAAATGGATGTGCCTCCCAGTGGTTAGCTTCAGTACCTGGAGCTTCATCGGCTGCGGCTGAAAAAATTAAGAAATCCTATTCTCATACAATTAACTTCAAACTTAATTAAACTAGAAACACAAGACTATCTCAACTTGGATAGTGACCAAAAGATTTCCACTCCACTCTTAGTCCATTTACCATTTAAGTTCTTATTATGGACATCAACTCGAGTCCATATGCAAGTTGGAGTCTTATACAAAGTGAGTAATACTTGATAGAAAATTGGAGAAGAATGGGTTTATCACAAGCAACTTTTGGAAAAAAATTACCAAATTACTGAAATTTTAAATAAAGTAAAAATGGGGTACTGTAATCTGTTACCTAGACCTTTGGATTAAATCTGGTGATTTAGGTATAATGAATAAAATATGAAATCTTTACCAATTTTATTCTTAAAGCAATAAATGGTAGGTTGTATATATCTATAGCAATTCTACCAAGGTACAAATGAATACTGTTGTTAAATGATAAATTAGGCAGTAAAATTTACAGCACTAACTGACCTAAAACTCTATTGCTTCATCCACTATTATTTTACCTGTACGTACAGTACTTTGGAGTTTAACACCTCAATAAAAAGGACTGAAAAATGTACTCAGTCATTCAAGATAACAGTACAGATATACCTCTTAGAAAACTTGTTATTATGTAATGCTGAATGTTTTCGAGTAATGAAGTAATTTTTTTCCAACCCCCAAAAATAAATAAATACACACACAGTACTGTATGTATATATGTGTGTGTATATATATATATATATATATATATATATATATATATATATATATATATATATATATATGTGTGTGTATATATATATATATATATATATATATATATATATATATAAAATAGTTCACAAATTCGATGAGACCATGTAATACACAATGCTTTCATCTTTTCCTTGAGCAGCATGCTCAGGTTACTGCTCAGCCAATCAGTGCCTGTATCTACCAGTTTTGAATGCTTTCTGCAAATGAGAATTTAATTTACTTCTGCAGTACTGTATTAACTCTTAATAATTTCTTTTTGACCCATAATTTCTGGAAAAAGGCTTGTAAGTGATACTGATGGTATTATAATGTGATTAAGCAACCAAAGAAAAGAATCAGTATGAATGTAAACTTGCAGGTCATAAGACATGCAGAGATGAGACAGCACCTGGTTGATAGTGGCAGTTTGGGTTTGGCTACATCAACCACTTAAACCAGTTTCACAAATTCAGACAAGATAAGGTATTTTGCCTAACCCACCGTTAAAAACAGCAGCAAAGACACCTTATTCAAGGAGCATTTTACTCTAGAACAATGGTTCTCAAACTTTTTCGACTGTGACCCAATTTTGAATATCTCCAAAACTTCGTAACCCATTGATTAAAAAAAAAATTTACTAAAATAAAATTTATTATCACATCAACTAGAAATTTAATAGCAAGGTACAGTACAACTAGCAATAAATACATTGGTTGAAGACTCTCATTGTGTACCGGTGACCTAGAGTGTTTAAATAAAAAACTAGCAAAAAGCACAACTTTACTGAATCGTTGTGACCCACTGAAAATCAGTTAATGACCCATGGTTTGAGAATCACTGCCCTAAAATATGGGCAGGGAGCCAATTGGAATCCATGTAGGAGGAGGATTGACAGTGGATAATACTGTAACTGAACACATTGGTGAGTACATAGCTTATAGTACTGTACTTCACAACAAGGAACTCAAGATTGCTATAAGAGGTATGCCTGTACTGTTGTTCTCTTCTTGAACTAATTATTTTGTCCTTAACTGTACAGTACCTCCTCTCCTAACTGTCTGGTGTAATTAATATATAAATGAAATATAACAGTTCATTACCAGTAGTATTCTTAAATTCTGGTACATGAGCCAATTGAATTTGTATCATACATTTCCCATTATTGTTTAGATGTTTCATTAAAGCTGAACCTGATCCTAACAAATTAAGCTTTATGCTTACGCTTGATTCTTTTTCATATTCCACAGCAGATATGAATTCCACATATAGTTGCCATACATAAACATCCACTTGTTGACAAAGGTCTCCACCATGTGTACCTGTGAAAAATAACAGTACTGTACTATAGATATAAAAAAGGATATAGTAACATGATATAGTGACGTCTCTTTTAATACAGACAATCATGAAACATCAATTCAAGTGTAAAACATGACTGAGTGAAATAAATTATATTCACTGAACAGGAGAATAATCTGATTAAAAGACAAGTTAAAAAGTGTACGAACTTGGATGCCATGAGCCCAATATCCGCTAGTTCGACGAGCATAACCTAGAGTGTGTAATGCATTCGAGACAAACGTTTGTGCTGTTGGGATTAACACACCTGGAAACAAGAAAATAATTTGCACACTTTGAAAACCTTTATTCCAATGTAAGTGCTGTAAAGTAATCCATGAATATAATGCAGTAGCAGGGTCTGGCCACCACTGCAATAAATCCAAGCCACATCTAAAGGATAAAGAAAATATATGTTTCTTGGGGTTATTTATCTTTACTGGCAATATTTTGAGCAATATAAATCATTAATTAGGGTAAGCACACATCCACAACATTGCTAAAGCTGCCCTCCGCAAGCTGGGAATGCTGTATAGATGCCGTAGCGACTTCACTCCTGAGCAGTTGCTTCAAGTTTATAAGGGGTTCATTTGTCCTAACTTGGAGTACTGCTCTTATATCTGGGGTGGCTCTTCTTCTGCCCAACTATTATAGAGGGTGGAATCAAAGGTATTTTGTTTTGTTGGCTCTCCTCCTTTAGTTGATAATCTTTGGGGCATCTTTCCTACACCTACTTAAACTTGTAATTACTATAAACAAAAACAGTCCCAGGAACAGCCTAGCATACAAATTTACATCTATAATATACTACTTCAAATATTTACTCCACTTCCAATTTTATGTGCAGTAGCTCATGGGTAAACTCTACACAAAATCTTAATGATAGGAGGAATGAAAAAGTAAACCCAATACTGTACTGTACAGTATAGTGAAAAACATACTAAAAGTGACAAGAAATTTGTGAGGAGGTAATAATTAACACCCCAGTTATCCTACCAAGCTGGGTTTTAGATGAATAATTTTTTTCCAGAATTTTAACCCTTTTATATATCTTTATAAGACGATGTAGTGAGGGAGAGAGAAGCAAGTATGAGCACTTTGTTGTGTGTGTTGGTTTGAACTCTCATTATTGTCTTGAGCCAAATGTTACTACATGTACCTTCTCCTCTTCATTGAAAGTGGTGTGGATGTTACAGGTATACTGCAATTAGTCTGGGTACTGATCAGCCAGTGATCTCAGATGACCGAGCCAGATGGACACCAGCCTTAACAGGCCATAAGTTAATTTCATCCAACCAAAAGAAATACAAGCCCAAATCAGACGGTGTTAGTGTAGGTAAATTAAGTACCTGTATTTTTCAGACCACATAGTGCACTTATGGACTGCTAATGTTGAGTTTTCAGTCATACTCCAATATAATGTTAATAGTCTGGTCAATACTCTACAAAAGTTTAATCCTCTAAGTGCTGGATGTTTTCTTGAACCTAAATAAAATCATTTGGCAATAACAGAATAAAAGCCCAAAGTGTCTAGAGTACTGAACAAGTTAAAGTTACTTACTAGGTCTGTGGACAAGCTCTGAAAATTTGGTCATGTTAGTAGAAACGTAGGATGGGGTAACAGTCTGGACGGTGATGCCTGATCCACGGTATTCCCAGTCTAGTGCTTGTGAGAAGTAATCAACAAAAGCCTGAAATATATAGCAAATTAATCAAAGGCTGATCCTGGATACCCCATTATGTACGATCTGTTTTGTACTCATTTCAACTATTGCTACGACTACAACATTAAAACATCAAACTTTAACATGTAGAATAAATTATTATTCATAAAAAAAATCAAATGTAAAGACAGTATACTATTTATTTTACAAAATAAATACCACTATAACATTCTAGATGACCAGTTCATAGTCACCATTACCAATACAGTACTGTATAAAACAATACAGTACAGTATTCCCAAATCTGGGAGCTTAGTTGAGAAGCATTTTAAATACAGTAGTACCCCGATTTAAGCGGTCAATTGAACCCACGGGGTACCGCGGAAAGTGAAAACCGCGTAAAGTGAACAACAGAACATATGGGATTAATTCCAATAGAGACTGGCCCGACCCCCAAACTCCACTTTTTCAGACATAATACCTACGTTGTAGTAAAAATAACATCTTGATATTATGATGGTATGCACACACAATTAATAATTAAGAGAACTATCAATAATATTAGGTTTTTAACACTTACATTAGTAGAAAAGATGGCTGGGCACACAGGGGACTTACATCGCAGATTGTTTATTGATAAAGCCTGCCACATGAACCATGAACGGAGATATCTGGAGACATGCCCTTGTTATGCGGACGCACCATGCACCGCGTAAAGTGAAAGTCCGGTTCTGGCGAGGTACAGCGTAAATGCGAAATCGCGGAAAGTGAAACCGCATAAAGCTGGGTATTACTGTAACTTTATTTTTTAGCAAGTTCAATAAAGCTGTATTATCTGAACATATAAACCAATAAGTATTGAATATTTTATTTAAGGTGGATGCTATCCTTGCTGTCATGCTTTGTACAGGAACAAGTGTGTGTGTCTCAAATAAGATGTTGTGGTTCCTTGACTATTAATGTGTGTTATTGTAATGGAATTGCACAAGTGAAAAAACATCCACCAGATGAGTTGCATGGTAAGTAAATTTTTTTTATCAATATTCTGCAAATCTTTAGCAAAGCGCACTTTGTCGCTTGTGCAGATATTTAGTATCTCTTTCTCAAGTTGGAACCAGTCATATTCACTATAAGAGGCTGGGTGTGCCTCACTACAGTGAAAACAGCAAACCAGACCCAGACATTTCTGACCTTCATGGGCGTTACCACAGTCAACACATACTGCAGAAACACCCTGCTCTAGCTTACGACAAGTGCGGCTGACATGGCCATACATATGACGATGGAAGCAGCAACCTTGATAAAGGTTGCTGCTTCCAAGTGGTCAAATGTCAATAACAGAGTTGGTGTAGGGTTAAGAAGGCCATTTTCTTTCTTGTAGCACCTGTCCACTTTCACCACCTTTTGGTCTTAGATCCCCTCCAGAAGGTTTTCCTCTGAGTATTGGAGTAGCTCTTAAGAGAATACCACCCCCTCGACACTGGTTAAAGGTGGCATGTGGAGTACAGGAAACTGGAGCACCAAGTACCTCAGACAGGGTACAGAGTCAAGCACACTCCTCGGGAGAGACCTCCACTAGGAGGCTACCATCTTGCCGAGTGGATATTTTTAGTTCTCTCCCACAAATTGTTATGATGGACCTGTGAACATAAAAAATGTCCAAGTCCATTACAAGCTTGCCTTCCACAGTACAGAGCACTAGATATTTTGCAAAAATATATCAGCTTAAACACACCCGGTAAGATTTCGTGTGTAGAAACGTCATGGAGGGTGCTAGAGCCAGTGGGCCTCCTGCAGCTCTTACACTTGGGTATTTGTCATGACCCAGAGCCACTTTTCCCAATCTGATAGGGTTGCAATGTAGCAATTGATGATCCAGAGGAGGGTCCAGGGATGGGTGCAGGGTTGTTGGAGGAGTATCTGGCTGGTTATTTGAGTTTGTTTCTTCCAAACAAAACCCAAATTTTTCATTATCCCCCCCTCCACCTCACCCACCATAGATCCCAATAAGGGGAGGTCAATGCAAGATATAAGACCCTGGTGACCCCAGGGGTAGTGGGGAAGTATACGTGGGCAACCACCAGGAGGCCAAAACGGCAACTCATAGACCATAAGAGTGCCAGTCCCCTGATGCCAGCTTGATCCTAGCCACACTGTGACCAGCCGATTAACTTGATCGGGCTCAACCAAGCCACCCATCTAGCTGGAATAGGGGACCAAAGAAGTGTGTTGCTAGCCGCAGATCGCAGTGTGCGGCATTGCTCAACCTCCAGGACTCCTGTCTCCCAACACTATGGGAAACCACGCATGAAAGATACATGGGAGAGCATTCCAGACCCGGTGGACTGGGCTGGGGATGATGTTGCCGGTCTGCTTCAAAAGCTACAGCAGGATAGGAACCATTTTGTCTGGAGCCTCCCCGGTGACCCACCCAGTTTGGGAAACCCTTCCCTCCCTCCGAGGAGAGAAGGAAAGAGGGCAAGCAGCCCCCCTCTGGTACTGCTCACTGAATCATCGGGGCTCGCAAGCCCCCCACCACCACATTAAGGCAGCTCCCATGGGGGGGGGTATTCACAATTTATATTTTCACCCATATTTGATACGAGGTGCTCCACATGACAAGGGTGAGCCCACCATGGGTTGTAATATTCATTTTCTATGTATACAGATACCTCAGTCCATGCTCTATAATTCTAGACTTACATCATGTGGCAGATTTTTTATTGATAAGGGTGAGCCTGCCACATGACGTTACTATAGTATTATAGAGCATGAACAGAGATATCTGGAGACATGCCCTTGTTATGCGGAGCGCCTCATATGCACAAAGCATACCCCACTATTCGTAAAGTGAATTATAAAAAATAATATCAGTGAAGATGGTATGTTGTTATGAAATAAGAAAAATGAATGGAATGGATGTGTTCGTGTGTGAAGTGAACGTGTGTTGGACCTGTTATGTCGCCAAGTTAGACTGTCCCTGTAGCTACATGCCCCTACAAGGCCAAGCTGTGTTATTGTTATTTTTCAACTCGTAATATTAGGAAAATATATAAAAAAAAATTATATTTTTGTTTTTATTCTGATACATGCGCACACAATCATTCAAAAAGAAAGTGCAAAAGAGAAAGAAAATAAAAGGAATGATCATCATAAGGTCAAAAATATAGAGAATAAACATTTCTTACTTCTGCAAGAGTTAGTTGGCAGATCGTGGGGCAGGGAGGGGAAGGGGGGAGGGGGTGCGGTGTTGGGGATCTCGGCCTCCCCCTACCAGGCCAATCTATGAGCTGCATTATTGTTATTCAACTGGTAATTTTGGATAGATATGCAGTACATAATTTTCTAAAAATAAATTTAATTTGTCACAAGCACACACAATCATTAATACAGTCTCCGCCACATAGTGAAACTATTGCCAACTGGTAATGTGGTATTTTTTCTTTTCTTTTATTTATAGTAGAACGTCGATATAACACGAGTTATGTTCGAAGAGAGGTCGCTTTAAACCGAATTCGCACTAAATCAGTGTTGTTTCAACGGAATAATTTAGTTTGGTACTTGAGAGAAACACAAAATACTAAAAAAACTGAGTCAACCCAGATGCACCTCAGCCCATCAAGAATAATTTTTTTTTTCTTTTTTTGTAGTATTATGTTAAAACAAACGCTCATAAATCAACACAGCTAAAATTAAGGGAAGCAAAATGGTCTGTTTACTGGCTGGGAAGATGAGGTGATATGTTTGACAGTTGATGCCAAGGTCTAGTGTTTATTTATTTATCTGTCCTTAAGTTTGACTACGGTAAGTTTTTCTCTTATAAAATGTCACTAAACTGACCTGGGAGAATATAATTAACATTGCTGGAATTCTTATAAGCGAGTGATTAGTTTGAATATACACATGCTATAGTTCACATTAGACATACAAATTTTACTTTTAATTAATTGTATTGCAAAGGGCTAAAAAAATTTCTCTTATACAAAATATGACATTTATATTCAAATTATTTGGTGTCTTGCAAGAGTTCTAGCAGTACAAATTATATTCTCCTAACTTAAGTTTGTTATATTATATAAGATAAAAACTGGAAGCCTATAACCACCCAACCCTGGCTGGGACGATGGGGGGGGAGAGGAGGGGGGAGGTGACAGTGACAGTTGTGCCAAAGGTCTGGTGAAATATTTATTTGTTTATTTATGTCCTTTATATTGAGTTTTTGTTTTATGTTTATTAAATGTCACAGAAGTGACCGGGGAGAATTTAATTTACATTGCTAGAATTATTATAAGATAGTGATTAATTTGAATATAATCATGCTATAGTTTGCACTAGACAAAAATTTTAGTAATCATTTAGTACATTATTTTGAGCACATGTACAGTACAGCTTTACCCTTAGGACAGTGTAGCGTGCCCAAAGAAACATTAGGGGCGAATTTTAAAATATGATGCGCCAGATTGACTCGCACAAAATAGGAAAGATTCACTTTAAATGAAAACATTGTCCTTAATTGTGAGTGTTGCTTTAAATCAATAATCTTAAATTGAATCGCTTTAAATTGACATTCTACTGTATTAGTATTATTTTTATTTATTCCTCACATTTACTGGTACAGTACTGTACTACAGTATACATGCGGCCCTGGTCCCAAATAGCCTCGGATAATGGGGAGGTACTGTATATGAAGAAATATGTGGTGAAAATTGCCTGCTGGGAATGCATCACCCCCTAATTACATTGATTCTCATGGAGAAAACTGCCCCAATATTTGCGGTGACTTTTAGGAATGCATCCTTTGTGAAAACTGGGGTATTCCTGTGTACTGAATTACCTAGAGGTAAAGCAAATGAAGGGGGCACACTAAAGGCTCTTCAGCTTTGGTAATCTCCTCATAGAGCAGTTCAACAAGGGAGAGAGACAAAGGTGATCAAATTAGCTTTTAAGATACAGTATATACCTTTGAAGCAGAGTATATCCCCATTAGAGGGATGGGGTGTAGTCCAGCAATTGAAGCTACATTAATTATTGCCCCTTTGCCTCTTGACAACATTCCTGGAAGAATCAGCTTCGTCATTGCCGGCACAGACGCCATGTTAACATTGATGTGGTTCCAGATGTCTTTGTCAGATGAAAGCTCAAACTCCATGGGATGGGACAGCATTACACCTACATTATTAACTGAAAATTAAAGTTTATTTATAGTTATCAACTCAAATATAATTATCATTGTTCTGTGGTGTACATGAGTGACTGCTCAGGAAGGAGAAGTCACACCTATATCAAGATTTTCCAAACACCTGAAGCAAAGTGGGCTGAATAAGAGAAAGTAATTAACTGTGTGGTCTTTAGCAGGCAGCTACCCAGACATACAGAAGAGCACACTGTTTTATTAGAACATTACCTGTACTGTACTCTGGTAGCAGTTAAATGTAATATGCACTAAGAGTAAAACAATCGTACGGTATTACCTCACTATACTGAAATAATTGGCGAGTAGCCAGTTTGGTGTAGGGAGTTTTTTTGGATAAACTGAATCTGAAAAACTTGTCCAACACCGAACTTTCTTCAGTGTACAGTACAGTACAAGCAGGCAGTCCCCTACTTATGAGGTTCCATAAGATTGTTCCCAAGTCCAAATTTACTCTCTAGATCTAACCTAACCTAACAACCATGTTAAAGTTAAGTATCACCACAGAACCACATACAAATGCAATCATACATAGTGTAGACATGCAAATGCATAATATGCAGTGAAGAAAAGTGTTTTGTCTTATCTTGAAAAGTAGGCTAAGTATGCTTGTTGGGGCTGCTTGGAGTGGCAAGGCTGGCTGAGTTAATTGGAGGAGGAGGTGGAGCAGATGGAGGATGGAGAAGCTGGCAGATGAGATTTAGGCTTGAAAACAGTTATACCATCTGTTGATGTTGATGGCCTTGGTTCTGAATCACCTTGCTTTTCAACTCTTTTTAAAATATTTGTCCAAAGATGTTTGTGTATTGGCTTTCTTTTTTCTTCATAAATTTGTGCATAACATGACACTCCTTCGTGCACAACTGCAGACACATTCATGAACCTATCTAAACACTGCTAGGGCTTCTTCAAGCAACCCAAAGACTTCTACCCTCTGCTTTGTGGCAAACCTTTTAGATGGTTCAGCATCTTCTTCAGTCACATCCTCCTCCTTTTTCTGCACTTCCAGCTCCACCAAAACCTCATTGGTTAATTCTTGGGTGTGCACAACCAATAACTCCTTAAAGTCTTTTTCCTCCAAATCAAGTCGAAGTTGGTTGCCCATCTCCACAAGATTCTTCATTACATCACCCTCATCCTCCACTTCCTCAAAACTGAGAAAGTCATGTATAAGCTGAGGGCACAACTGCTTCTACACACCATGTATGTTTGTACTTGTGACCTCACTCCAGGAAGCAGCAATTATTTTTATTGCTTTATGGGGTTAAAGTCCTTCCAAAATTGTCTCGATATCACTTCACTGTCACCTTCTGTTGCCTTTACCACCTGTCTGAATGTTCACTTCAGATATTTTTTTTTAAGGATGAAATGACTCCCTGGTCCATAGGTTGTAAGAGCAAGGTGGTATTTGGAGGCAAAAACCACGAGGACATCAGGATGATAATCATCCAAAAAAGGTGGATGCCCGGGGGCATATCAACTACAAGGAGGATTTTGAATGGTAGATTATTATTTTTACAGGTCACTGACCCACATCAGGGTCTGGGGGGTGAAAATATAATAATACAGGTACACCACCGATTTTCCGGGAACTGATGGTCCGTTACCTCCTTTAGTCCGGACAAAATTACGAGAGGGCACTTAACTTCCCTCCCTCCCTCCCAGCCAGGGTGAAGCAGTTTTAGGCTTAAAGATTTTTTATTATAAAATGTGTCAGACTAAACTTAGCAGAATATAACTTGCATTGCTGGAATCCTTGTAAGATAATTTGCATAAGAGATAAAGATTTTAGTTCTTTAGTGTAGAACATTTGAGTACAAAGTGTGTACAGTAATATGTTGCTCCAAATTATCGCTTTTTCACATTTAATTTACATTTAACATTTGTTTAATTTAAGTTTCTAGCAGTCCATGGTGCTTTAGAGACATGGGAGGTGTATAATTAGTGGGTCAGAGGTGTATTGTTGAATTATTATTACCTGATCTCAGTTAGTCTGGCAAAATGGATAATCCGGCAAGGCTTTGGAACCAGGGTGCTGGAAAAATCGATGGTGTACCTTTAGTAATAATTATTAATAAAAATTAATAGAAATAAATAAAATTTATACTAAAAAATAAATAAATAACAATAATAGTAATACCCTGTAATAACAGTAATCACAATAAAATGAATAAAAATAAATACAGTACAAGTTATTATAAAAAATACCAACTATAAAATAATTGAAATACCAATCCTCAAAAATCATGGTTGTAACCCAGGCTTTATGGTTGGCTTTCCAATAACGGGTTGTGAAGCCTTGGAAATGCTCTTAAGGGCTCTGGGATTTTCTGCATGGTACACTAAGAGAGGTTTCAGCTTGCAGCCCCCGGATGCATATCCACCAAGTAGAAGTGAAAGTCGGTCCTTGGACATAGACACCTTAAACCTTGGCATCCTTTTCTCTTCTTTGGAAATATAGGCTTTCTCTGGCATCTTTTTCTCAAAAAGATCAGTTTCATTTGCATTAAAAACCTGTTTGGGCTGGTTACCTCCCTTACTGATGATCTCAGCTAGTGTCTTGGGGAACTCCCTTGCAGCAACGGTGTCCACACTAGCAGCGCTTTCACCATGTTTAGCCTTTGTGTCCTGAAATAAACTCTTTCATGAATTAACATATGCTAATGGGGTTCCAACATTGATGCTGATCTTCCAGCCACACACACAACAGTTTTTTTTCCATTTCCTCAATGTCTTGTCTTCTTATATGGCTAATTGTGGACTTCGTGGACATGGATCTTTTCACGTGCTCCTTGATTCGCTTTTTGTCCTTGATTATTGTTCCAACTGTCAAACGATTCATGGAATAAGCACTGGCTACATTCGTGATTTTCTCACCACTTTCAACTTTCTTTATAATCTCCACTTTTGTTTCCATAGTAATAGTATACCTTTTCTTGGCAGCACTTTCAACACCCACACTGCTCTTGCATTTACTGGACATGATGGAGAGTTAATAGTGTTTGATATTTCTAAAAAATAACGATAAATACTACACAGGAGATGACCGATCAGCTTAAACACAACAGCAAAATGGCTGCGCTGCCCACTTGCTCCCACAGACGCTGTCTGTTGGCAGATGCCTTCACCTGGCGCCAAAGTTGAATCTCAAAATTGGACTTGCAGCCAGCTTTCATTGCATCTCTGAAAGTTCATAAGGTGTTTGATCGTAAGTAGGGCAGTGCTTGTTTATGAAAAAGTTCAGTATTTTTAGTCCCAATACAGGTACTGTATAGACACTACTTTCTTATTTTCATCAAATGTGTTTTGAACACAGTCCTTGTAATAAGGATATGTATAGCTACAATAGTCAAACGAATTTTAATTTATCTTGTTTGGGTACAGAGATAAAACAGAAATAATAATTATGGGAACACTGACAGATGAACCCCTTCAAGGTGTAACACATCACCAACACAAAGCGACATGCAAAACAAGGATCAGGATATACTTCTTCACACAGAGGCTAGTAGACCTATGGAACAGTCTACTAGCCAAAGCTGTAGTCACGGACAGTATTGGGCTTCAAAATAGCCACTGACCTCCTTCTCTCGGCATGTAAATAAGGTAAATAAGGATACTGTATACCGAAAAAGAAAATATACCCTGTAATAATTTAAAAACACAAGCTAATTTAAGTCAATCCTTCAAGGCACAACTGATAACTTTATGCAAACAAAACAACATGTGTACAGATTGTAAATTAAAACGGAAATGATGCACACCCAGAATCATTACTGGGTGTGTTGTGTCAGTTTTACATGTGTACATGATTTGGAATTTCAAACATGAGACAATATCAAGACAAACAGTTGATAAAGACATATAGTCAAGGGCTCACCTAAAACTCCAATCTCTTTATCCTCGAGGTGTTTTGCTATGTCCTCATAAATGGGTCGTCCTGTCATGAAATCCAGCTGTACAATTTCAGTCTCAACTCCATATTCCTGACCTGTAATGATAAAGTTAAATGATACTTAATGGTCCTTGCTGTATACAGTACATCAAAGCTTAATTTTGTGGACATCACTAAAAACACTACAGGTCTATAACCTAATTACATTTGATCCAACTCACTGCCCCTCTACAGTATACTGTACAGTTAGTTACAGATGACCATTGCATACAATTTAATGTATAGTAATATGTACCGGGTATATTAAAAGCTCTTTCGATATATATATATATATATATATATATATATATATATATATATATATATATATATATATATATATATATATATATATATATATATATATATATATATATATATATATACAGTAGTACCCCGATTTACGCGGTCAATTGAACCCATGGGGTACCGCAGAAAGTGAACAACAGAACATATGGGATTAATTCCAATAGAGACTGGCCCGACCTCCAAACTCCACTTTTTCAGACACAATACCTACGTTGTAGTAAAAATTACATCTTAATTTTATGATGGTATGCACACACAATTAATAATTAAGAGAAATATCAATAATATTAGTTTTTTTAACACTTACATTACTAGAAAAGATGGCTGGGCACACGAGGATGGGGGGTTGGTTCCGAGGCAGAGGGCAGATTATTTGCCCTCACCTGTATCACTTGTATCAATTGTATCACTATCCACCACATAGGCTTGCAGGGCCTCTTTGTCAAAACCCTCAAAGTCCATATAAGTCCATATCCTCACTATCACTGACTTAGGCCGGCTGTGGTGGGTGGCGGTTGAAGAACTCGGTAATGTTTTGATGACTGGGCGACCTTGTGCGCATCCTGCCCGCGCCGCTTCCCGCGTATATGAGTAGATGCACCGCGGAAAATGAAAGTTTGGCAGCGAAGGGGGACTCGAGGACAAGTCAGCCAACAATCAAAACATTCACCAGTTGCCCGCGTAAATTTTTATGAACGAACATTTATGAGCTTTACCCCTCGACATTGCCCCTATTTATTGCCACAATGCCCGTTGTTTCTTTGCTTCTTTTATCACAATGGGCAAGAGGAAAGATTTAACAAAAGAGCAGATTAAACGATTTCGAGATGACAGCGGGTTGACAATACCAGTGCACAACGGATAGCCAGGGAAGGCTCGAAAAACTTCCTAATGCATGTTAACTGTTCTTAAGAGGCAACTTGATGCTAATCCACGTCTGTCAGCACGGGAATTGAAAGAAAAACCCTGTACTTCTAGGTGATGTTTCTGTAAGGACTGTTCACAGCCGCATCCATGACGACCTGCAGTTTCGCAGCCACTGCGCATGCAAGAAGCCCCTCCTCACCCTTGTCCAGAGGCAGCGTAGGGTCGCTTTTGCCAAGGCTAATGCTCAGTGGGATACGACCAAGTGGCAGCACGTGCTGTGGAGTGACGAGGCAACATTTTCTTTTACTGGAAATCGTTTCTTTTAATGTGTAATAAGGGCCCCCGGGAGTGATTCGCTTGCCCCCAAGTTCACTTTTAGCACAGTTAAGCATCCTGAGTCACTAATGGTGTGGGGTTGCTTCTCGTACTTTGGAACTGGTGATCTTGTTGTGCTACCTAAGAATGTGATGATGAACCAATTTAACTACTTGGAGCTGCTTTGTGATTATTTGCCAGGGTCTTTTGAAAAATGCCGCGCTTATGTGTTTATGCAGGATGGTACCCCTTGTCACACAGCAAAATCTGTAATACAATGGCTTGTTGACTGTCAGGTAGACTTCAAAAGTGATTGGCCAAGCAATTTTTCTGACCTTAACACGATAGAAAATAAGTGAAGCATTATCAAGCTTCGTCTACAAGGCAAGGAAACAAATACCGTCCCCAAGCTGGAGGCAGCCATTTGTGAAGAGTGGAATAATTTAGACCCACAAATAATCCACAACTTGGCAGAGTCAGTTCTTTCATGCCTGCAGGAGTGTATCAAGAGAAAAGGGAAGCATATAGACTACTGAAACTTTGTTAACTTCTCAGATTAATTTTGTATTATTATTTCATCTTGTTGTTTATGTCCGTCACGAACCCGCGCATAATGCAATGGCGAGGAATGTATATGACTCCTACAGTAACATTTTTTCACAAGAGCTTCCCACAAAATTTGCTAGCAATGTTTACTTATAATAAATTCTGGTTGACTAGCGTAAATGCTAAATAAAAAATAATCTAAAAATGAAGTTTAAAAATTCTTAAGAGAATAAAACATTTCAGAAAACCATATAACCACATATAATAACCACATATAATTTAAGAGCTTTTAACCTACCAATTTCAGTAGACACTTTCTGCAATTTCTCTAATGTGCGTGAGATGAGAATAATATTCATGCCACTTTTGGCAAGCTCTTTTGCATATTCCTTTCCGATACCATCTGAGCAGCCCGTCACCACTGAAAAATAATGACTCTTTAATAAAGGACAGAATGATACCTAAATTCAATTTCATAACTGAGACCTGATTGAAGAATTCATGTTACTGAGTCAGGTAGACCTAGAGGGATAGCACTCAGACTAACCCCTGAAATCAACAATGCAGAAACAGGAGTTACCCAAAACAGAAACATACTACAAAATCATCTCTAACCACCCGATAAGATACTTAAAATTCAGTAAAAGTGTACGTAGTTTCACTACAAATTTTTTTTGTTTCGTTTTACCAGAAATCTTGGTTTTACCAAGGTATTTTTTTCTTTTCTTTTATCCTCTTCACCAATTGATCTGCTCGGTAGCCGCTTGGGCGATCGGTCATGTCTCTGTTACGCACTGTTGGCAAGTACTGGGCATGCACCGGCTCCTGAATGTACCTGAACTTGCTCCAGTGTTGATCAAGTCTGGTCTTGAAAGAGCTCACACTCGGTGCCGTCACAACACTTTCTGGTAGACTGTTCCAAGAGATCACAACTCTCATTCCGAAAAAGTTTGCCCTCACAGTTTTCTGGACCCGCAACTTCTTCAATCTTGAGCAGTGACCCCTTGTTGGCCGAGCGTCTGCCAGCTCCAAGTAAGGACACTCGACTGAGTAGTGCCCCTTGAGATGCTTATACACCTCAATTAGGTCACCCCTTGCCCATCTGTAGTATAAGCTAGGCAAGTTCAGGCGCTCCAATCTCTCAGGGTAGTTGAGGTGCCGAAGTGCAGGCACCAGTCTGGTGGCCCTCCTTTGAACATTTTCAACCAACTGACAGTCCCTAGCATATCTCGGGGACCAGATGGGGAAGCAATTCATTCTTGAAGATCCTTACGAGGGACGCACCATCTAGATATCTGAACGACCTTCTTATAAGACCCAATAATTTATTTGCCTGATTTACCTTCTTCTCGTAATGGCCCGAGAACTTCAGCTCATTGTCAACATACACACCCAGGTCCTTCTCACAAAGTCTCAAATAGTGCAGTTTCTTCATCCCTTTGGGACATATGATACGCCTCCTTACAGTTGGTTCGCTCCAGGTGCATCCTCTTACACTTCATGACATTGAATCTCAACAGACATTTCTTCGACCATTCTTAAGAGCTCACAGAGATCCTTCTGCAGCTCTTCACAGTCATTTGAATTTGACCTTCGATTCCATCAGAAATGAGTCGTTTTGAGTTATCGTCCCCCTCATAGAACCTGACCTAACCTAACCTAACTTCTTAGCCGGGGGTGGGGGGGGTTCTGCCCTCCAGACCCCTTGCCATATTAAGCAGAAAATACTTATTTTGATATCTGGTACCAATAAAAGCAACTGTTGATGCATCATGGTGTAATTTTTATTTATTTTTATTTTTTGTGGACGTGAGAGTATGCTTAGACTGAGCGGATCAGTTATAAACAAACAGAAAACACTCGGTAACTGCAAATTTATGCTAAAATTCTATGTGAATTTACCATTCAGTTATTATCCATTTGCGATGGAAGTGGTATTAAGTTAGGTCATTTTTAGGTCAAGGGTCATTTTGCGAAGAATATGTCATAGAAGGAATGTGTCTTAGAATTGTCTAAGCTATAATTGCAAAATTAAAATTCCTGAGATTCCATGGTGTTGTAAAAGTAAAACTTAACAGAAATGTCCTCAAATTGGTGCTAAGGTTGGACCACTCTCATCAGGTACTGTAATACCCCTAACCTAACCATCTAAGTGCGATTACAAAAGTTGCAATGACATCCTAAAATCAGATGAAATTCAAGTCTTTTTTTTTTTTTTTTTCATTTGCTGAATGCTGAAAATATGCAGGCAATGCATGTTGGATACCCCCAGATTAAAACGACTTTAGACTGGACACCACAGGTTAGATCACCTGATGATTAATAAGGTAAAGTGTGTTCTTAAAATACATTAGCAACAAATCTTGTTTTGTGCTAAAGTGAAATAAAACGTAATGTATACTTGAGCATTACCTCTTCCATACATACATACATATATTACATGTACTGTACCACATACATGCACATACTGTACATAAATGCAATCATGAATGCACCACATACTTACATGCACATGATCATATAAATACATACATGACACATATATGTTCACATTATCACATACAGTATACTCATACATATAGTACATACAAGCACATATCAACTCCAATAACAAACCTCTTGGCGTTGACCAAACCACTCAGCATATCGAAATATGTAGTCGTCACTGGACCTTTAAACACAGAAAACATAGGACAAAAACTAGCATAATAATGGGATAACATGTAAAACAATTCATGACAATCATCTACTGTATACTAATTCAGAACATTCAGAGTGAACCAATACATGCTAAATATAGGCAGGGGTAAGAGTAAAGCCTGGGGGGAGGGAAGGTGGAAGTAGAAAGTTAACTTCTGCTAGTTTTTAATGGTGGAGAATGGTTGGCAACCCCAACTCACCTGCCCACTTGCCGTAGTCTTCAACGAGGTGTTTCTTCCATAACCTGGACCACCAGTGATCTCTAATGCCGTTCACTATGGCCCACAGAGTCTGAATGGCTAACTTCACAACGTACAGAAGGCCCACAACCGTCAGCACGTACTCGAAATCACCCAAACCTGGGATCAAGGCGTCGCAGCCCATGTTCACTTGTTGTCACCCGTGGAGGCACTGCCGCACTGAGTGAGAGGGCTGAGGTGAGGCTGCTCAATCACCTCGCGGCCGGTCCGACTAATTACCCAAATGTCGCCGCAATTAAGTCAAATAATGGTCCTACATGAATAAATCGGACTGCTAATCACTTCTTGACTAGTATTTGGTGTCACAAAGTAAAAAAAAAATGGAAAACTTACTTTAATCTGAGTTAATAGATTGTAGCGTACTGTATGTGGCCAGTTGTCAATTCTCTTTGTATGGGCACACAAACGTACGTACATGTAGATATCTCACATTCAGGACACACTGTAAACAAGTGTGAGGCGCAGGAGGACACCTGCTCCATGTGTAGCAGCCCCGGACACCGCTACACGGTCTGCCCCAACAAAGTAAAAAAATGCGCTGCTTGTGGTGGCCCACACTCCTCCGCCGATCGGACCTGCCCCAAATGGAAGAACATAAGAACATAAGAATGGAGGAAACTGCAGCGGGCCTATTGGCCCATACTGGGCAGTCCCGTTTACATCCAACCCCTATTGCTCATATGAGCATCCAACCTATGTTTGAAGCAATTCAGCGTATTCGAGTTAATGATGATATTTGGTAACTTGTTCCATTCATCCACTACTGTTTCCAAACCAGTGATTACCTATTTCACGCCTAAATCTAAATTTGTCTAATTTAAAACCATTGTTACGAGTTCGCTCCTGGTTGGATAATTTGAGTACCTTTGTAATGTCCCCTTTGTTTAGCCCTGCCTTCCACTTACACACCTCTATCAGGTCGCCCTCGCTCTACGTCTCTCAAGGGAGTGCAAATTAAGATGCTTTAACCTGTCTCTATACTCAAGGTTCCTAATGCCGGGATTAGTCTTGTCATTCTCCTCTGAATTCTTTCCAAGGATTCTATATCCATTCTGTAATACGGTGACCAGAACTGAACTGCGTAATCCAGGTGTGGTCTCACAAGAGCAAGATACAGTTTTAGGATGACCTCGCTAGTCTTGTAACTAACACTCCTTTGTATGAACCCAAGTACTTTATTTGCCTTGTTACGAGCAAAAACACATTGTTTACTTGGCTTAAGGTTCCTACTTATCATTACTCCTAAATCTCTCTCGCAGTCGGATTTCTCTATGGCATCGTTGTTCATCTGGTATCTGGTTTCCCTGTTTACATCTCCTATACTGAGTACTTTACATTTGTCGACGTTGAATTTCATCTGCCATTTTTCAGACCATTCGAAAAATTTGTTTAGATCTTCCTGTAGTTTTGCCGAGTCCTCGTCAGATTTGATAACACGTCCTATTTTAGTGTCATCAGCAAATTTACTTATGTTGCTGTCTATGCCGATATCTATGTCGTTTATGTATATAATAAATAATAATGGTCCAAGTACTGAGCCTTGGGGAACTCCACTTGTGACGTTGCTCCAATGGGACTTAGTGCCGTTAATGCTCACTCGCTGTTTCCTGTCCTGTAACCACGCCCTAATCCATTTAAGGATGTCACCTTTGATGCCATGAGCTTCTACCTTTCTAATTAGTCTTTCGTGGGGGACTCTGTCGAAGGCTTTGCTAAAGTCGAGATATACCACATCATAATTGTGCCCCTCGTCCACCGATTCGAAAACTGATGAAAAGAATGTTAATAGATTAGTTAGGCAAGAACGTCCGTTTGTGAAGCCATGCTGGGAATCATTGATCAATCGGTGCTTCTCCAGGTGATTTCGAATAGAGTTTGAAATGATTGCTTCCAGTAATTTGCCTACTATTGATGTTAGACTGATTGGGCGGTAGTTAGAGGATAGTGATCTATCCCCCTTCTTGAAAATCGGTATTACATTCGCTATCCTCCAGGCCGCATCGGTGCCATCTTCTCATATATGATCCCGGCTGGACATCTCATACATACGAGGCCGTTGTTGGATGGTAGAGCGATTCAAGAATCACAATGGGATCTGGAGACAAACGGGGCAGCGTCAGGGGACTTGTATGGATGAAGGGACGGGCACTCACTAACGGTGACAACAACATCACGTTTCAGGGGACGTTAAAGACGTAAATATGACCTCACTCAGAGCATATCAACTACGTTACTGTAACACTTGCACAATCAACTATTAATTGGGTCAAATCACTTAAAGAACTTACTAACAGTGACAACAACATCACGTTTCAGGGGACGTTAAAGACGTAAATATGACCTCACTCAGAGCATATCAACTACGTTACTGTAACACTTGCACAATCAACTATTAATTGGGTCAAATCACTTAAAGAAGGGCGAATTACAACACAGAGTGGAATGGCATACCTGTATGGATGAAGGGACGGGCACTCACAAACGGTAGAAATGCCCGCGGGGCCCTCACTCAAAATAGGCCAGGGAGTCCACCTACTTCTATTCCGATGAATTAATTTACTGTACCCTCTGACGTTGAAATTGAGACTATGAACTCAGTTTCATTCCCTACTATTATCTTCACTAACAATGCTCTGACTCAGCTATCAAAAGCAAAATTGAATTGATTACAAAGGGTTGGATGGCAACAGGTCCCAACATACAGCGTCTGCTACTAAACCTGCGGATTATATTCAAAGGAAACAGTGAAAACGGGGGACGTTTCCACTGGGGGACTCAGAAGGTTTGTGGACGTTTGAGGGTAATATGAATCCTTAAGGTTTTCAGGTTAGCCGTCATCACGATCATGACAATGCAGTGTAGGAATCGCCCCAATACCCCATAATAAAGAAGTTGCCCCAGCACTCTAATACTCAGAAGCCACCCCAGCACACTAGCTCAGGAGCCATTGGTTTTCTTTCTCAGCTCTACAGTTCTCTCACCCGGTTTATCAGCGTAAACTATTTTATTTATCTCGGCCACAAGCTTGAGCGAAAGAACAGAGATTTATATATTTATACTGAATATTTCTATCATTTATGACTAACTTGTCTCTCTCGAAGTCATTGAAGTTCATCCTTCACAGGTCAAGCATTATTGACCAGCATTTAATATAAAAATAGATTGCAATAATTAATATCAGTATTATGTATAACAATACGTATATCATATATACCTAACATTTTCATCACTCATTTATTATTTATCTATGTTTTGTATAAAATTAATAACAACCTTAAAAAAATAACGATAACATTCGACCGCCCAAGGGCTAACTAGCGGATGAGTGGCGAAGAGGATAAAAAAAAAAAATAAAAAGTATAATTTGGTTGCACAGCGTGATATTTTAGTTTATCGTAAGGTCATATTTCTTAAAAAATTATAGCAATGACACTATTCAGATAAATTGTGTAGAGCAAAAGAGTTAATTCATTTGGCCGTAATAACCCAAGCAGATGACGGCCAGCTTACCCAAAGAGAGAGTGAGGAGACCTACGACGATTCATAACGAATATATCGAGAGATTACCGAACTATTTATGTGTTTATCATATTTCATTTTGAGAATATGAAACCGTGTATGTTTACCTTTAAGGACAGTAACTATGTTAGTTGCAATGAAATAACACAATAAAGGTGTTAATTCATACACAATCATATTCTAAAAATACAATGTCTGAAACTGACTGATGCAGTGAAGACCAGAGAGATGTATTGCCTTAATTTCTAATTACCAGTCCAGAATACCCAAAGCTTAAATGCTGAAATGCAGTAATACATTAAAACACCCATATAAACACAGATAAATAAAAGTGTTTATTTAGTAAAATCTTCATTCAAGTTCATATTGGTTCAGTGCAGTTGTACTTACAGTACAAGTACACACAGTACTTGTTCATATTCTCAGTTTACACACACAGTATACCATGTGAATCTTTAATCTCCACATACAATACACTCATAGTGCTTCATATTTGTTTGTTTTTTATCAAACTCTTAAGTGGGACAAATTTTATATCCCTCCCCCTACAGGAATTGCCTAGCTTATACTACAGGTAGTCAAGGGGCGACTTAATTGAAGTTTATAAACAACTCGGAGGGCATTACTCAGTCGAGGGTTCATACCTGGAGCTGGGGGACGTGCCCCATTAGCCTAGCGGGGCGGGTGGTCACAGCTTATGGTTGAAGAAGCCACAAGTTCGGAAAATTGTCAAGGCAAACTTTTTCTGAGTTTGTAAACTCTTGGCACACTCTGCCAGAGAGTGTGACAGCACCGAGAGTGAGCTCCTTCAAGACCAGACTTGACCAACACTGGCGCAGGTGCAGATACATTCTGGAGCCAGTTCTTGCCAATGACGGCATGCAGCCTGTCTGGCATTGAGGATCTGTTTGGTGGGGTTCTTGGCCAACCAGATATTTGCCTCAGCCCAGCCAGCCATTCACCTCAGCCAGCTAGCCATTTACCTAGGCCAGCCAGCCCTTCACTTCAGCTTGTCAGCCGTAAACCTCAAGCCAGCCTCAGAGAGCCAAACAATCTAAAAGATATAACAAACCCTTCCCCGTATCTACACACTCTCCCTCCCATCCACCCACCCTTCCTCCCATCCACACACCTTACCTCCCATCCACACACCCGACCTCCAACCACACACCCTACCTCCATCCACCCACCCTTCCTCCCATCCACATACCCTACCTCCAATCCATACACCCTTCCTCCCATCTACACACCCTAGAAAGAAAAATAAATTCATATTTGATGATTTTGATATTCTTCATGAGCAGAGAGCGAGTCATCAGTCGAACATTAACTCACTACTCACGGCCTAAAACCCAAATAATAATAATAATAATAATAATAATAATAATAATAATAATAATAATATTTATAATAATAATAATAATAGTAATAATAATAACAATAGTAATGGAAGTATTACGCTTATGCTAACCGTGGAAGCCAACTGCTTGTTTGGTTGTGGACTAGTTTAGTGACGTAAGAGCGGATCGTTGACGAAGCTTCGAAACTCATGACTATCTTTCGTTAATAATTATCAGATTTATTTTAGCTAATGGTGGATAGAAGTGATTTAAGAAAATTAAGGAGATTATAGATGACGGACCAATCGTGTAT